CAATCACCGACAGTGATTCTGCGTCAGGTTTTCTGAAGTTCTTCCTTCGGCAGGACTGCTTCACATTTCTTGGCCGGGACTGATGGCAAGTCTTTCTTGTGGCCGCGTTTATGGCACTTATTACAAATACGACGCTTGAATGGACAGTATAGTGCGAAATGCCATTCACCACATGACCAACAAGGTGTAGGTGGCTTGTTCGACGTTCTGTTGAACGACTTATTCGAGCCAGGCTTTCTTGCTTTTTGCACAGCATGAACAGTATCGGCAATGGTGAGGCGACTCTGCTCAATCATAGCCGTGTCATGTTTCAAGGTAATTAACCGTTTGCATTCGCGTACAAGAGACTTCAATGTCAAATCTGGGTCTTGATCCAAATTAGCAAGGGGCCGAGTGCGGATTTCCGCGTCGCGTGGAGACTGTAAAGCACTGACAAATATAAGACACTTAAACTGGTCATCCGTCAGACAGCGTAACTTGAAACGTCCACATTCACGGTTAACCATGTCTGCTAGTGCCCCATAATCGTCTGTATCACGCTTTACAAATTTTAGACATTGATAGCGAATGCTAAACAATGATGTCGACTCACCAAAAATTTCTTTGAGTGTTGCCACTGCTTCGTTGAAAGTGATGTCCTTCGGCTCTTTGGGCAATATGTGGTCAAGGAATCTTGTATGTTCATTAGCACCGAACTTGCGGAGCAAAAGACGCACTTTCCATGAATTATCTTGACGGCTGAAATCCGTCTGGAACATATCCTCCCAACGTTTGAACCACGCCTCGAAAGTGCATTCGGAATCAGCATCATTATGAAATTCAGTGATTGAATTCGTAAGATCAAGTGAAACAGCCTGTGTGTCCCGTGTAGCTGCTCCGTTTGATTGTACGTTTAAGCACTGCGTTAAACTTTCAATCACTTTCATTTGTGCTTCCATCTGGGATTGTTGCTGAAGAAGCAGCTTTTGAAAATGTTCGCTAGAAAAAATTGTAACATTTCCGTGCTTGTCCGTCGCCATTGTTAGATCTTCACTTTTTTTCGCTATCCCGAATTAACCACACAGAAATTTCTCCGCAAAAGTTCTAGCCCAGCCGTAGAAAAATCAAAATTCCAACAGTCTTGACCACGAAAAACGTGTTAACAAAAACTTTGCCAACGTAACCAGATAATGCCGCCGAAAACACTGCCCTATCAACTCTGAGGCAAAAGTCCAATTAGCCGGGTGTTTGAAAATGCATTCGTCCGCTCGATCGATTGCCTGATCGACCGCACGGGGTAGGCGATTCCCTTCAGCCCAGCTTTCAATCACCATTATATACTTTCCATTCTTTCTTTTATGTTTTTATTTGATTCCCGGATACGCAGCCAGAGAAACGGGACTGTGGCTGTATGAGGAGCTGTTGGCGATTAGTGTCCGGAGAGTGATGCGGGAACATCACTGCAGATGGTTCGACTCTAGTGACATTGTGGTTGCTGTCATTAAACTGTGAATTATAAGAGGAAAGCTGGAAATGGGGACTGAGGTGAGAAAGAGAAACAGGTGGGAAAGAAAGAAGAGAGGCGCCAGAAGCAAAAGTTTTCGCTTATGTGCCCTGTTGCATGCAGCAGATATAGCGACCCTTGACGAGCTGCGCGACGGCCGATGCAGAATATGGTTGAAGTTTAAAGAAATGGTCATGGTTGTAGGTGGGTTGAGATATTGCCATGGTGCCCAAAACTAGAGTGGAGAACGATTAAGGTCCTCAACTAAAGCCTTTGGCTCAAAAGCCTGCCGTAAGATAGCATATGTGGCGACGATTTGGTTTGACAGAAATGGACGCCATCTCATTACAAACCCCCAACATGGAGAACCAGGAGACTGAGTTCGTCTGACCTCTAACTATTGACCAAGCTGGTAGGAATAGCTCCACCCAGTGTAGCCCAATGTGTCGACAACGTACGCAAACCGTTACACCACTTTAAAATCCATGCTCATCATGACTGATTTCGATACATCCGTTGTAAAATAGACTGAAGTCTGTTGACGCAATAGCTTCGCGTTGTAGCTTGGTGTTTTGAATGCTGTTACCGCAAAGAATGTAGATCAGTAACGGCCCTAGTTGAAATTGCGTCGAACAATGCAATCAACTAAGTTTAAATCTCTCACAACCCGTGGCGGAGCTGGACGATATCGGACGTGTCCCCAGGTTGCGGATGAAGGAATACCTTCATTGTCGAGGTAACTGCGAATAAGTCTCGTTTGCCTTGCAGGCGATATGAATAAGCAGTCGCGGACAATCAGCGACAGCGTTTCAGAGCGTGGGGAGTTCTGGGCTAGTCACCTGGTTCTCCAGTAAATACCACAAGTGCTCGTACAGCGTTGTGTCAAAGCCAAGGTGGCCGGCTTTGGGGTCACTGAGCGCTCACTCCTGTAACTGGGGGTGAGTATCTAACGGAGGGCGGATGAACAACCTCCTGGCCACCGGCTTCTCTGTGAACAGCTTCCGAACACAAAAGCGAATGAGGCATTTGACTGTCAACGGTCTTGTGAATCACCCGCTGCGTTGCGGGGAAGGTCTTTACGACCAAAGGCTCGGGATGGGGTCCCTTAAGTCAACCCTCTTTCTCGGCCTGAATAACCGGGAAGCTCAATGCCCACACAACACATGGAACTTTCCATCTATTCAGCTGACTCTCTCTTCCTCCTTTTTGTTATTGATATCGTTACTCCTGAGTTGCGGCATGCTGCCAAATGTTTATTGGGCAAGTGTTATATATATATATATATATATATATATATATATATATATATATATAGGTTTAAAGGCATTTGAGGTTTAAAAGTTTGTCAATATTGTGGGTTCAGACAGTGGGGTGTACAAGAGTGGCAACTTCGAACAGAATTTTTAATACGAAAATAACTGGTGGCGGTGTGGTTCAGGGGTTTAGTTTGCAATGCACAAGACTACAGCTCGATCCAACGTAGATGTTCGTAAATCCCACAGTATCCTAGTCAGTATGCAATCGCTAGATGTGGCATTACAGCGAGGGGTCAAAGCGGGGTTCTGACATGCTGATAACGCATTGGGCAAAAACAGGTAAAACGCGAACGAAAGAATCGCCTCCTCATAGATAACATTCGGTAGTACCTGTATGCTGACATTATCCTGACAGGAGTGAGCGAGCAGCAAACTAGCATAGAGGATATGTGAGATAAAAGTAGTTACTGCTGTGGATCAGACTTGATAGCCGAGCAAAAAAGCTAACAAGCGCTCACAAGGCTGTCTACTGAAACAGTTTTGATTAACCTAATCAGAGCGCTTCAAAGCTGGACCGTAATCCATTAAGATTTGTCCTTTGGTTTGTTCGAGAGTTCTCTGCCGTGCGAGCCTTGCTCAGTAATGTGAAAGGTCATAAGGAGCATCGCTTCTAATGTTTCATCTGAACTCTCTAATGTTAATTAAGGGAAGGCGACAGCAGCCGACACATTGAAGTGATTTACGATATACAAGGGAAAGGGCGGCTTGATGCTGAAAATAGAGCATCACAGAAATAAGACCGGTTTAACGCATGATGATGAAAAGCAGGTCAATGGACAATGAGGCAATGTATTGCGACCAACTAATGGGGCCTCACCAGCCTTTGAAGTCTCTCTTCAACGAAGCGTCTGATGCAGTAAACATGTGTCAAGCTATTGGATTTGGAAAAATTGACACACAAGATGTGGGTATTTAAATATACAAAAACATTAGTTGAGTAGCGGACTCACTTTTCTGGTAGTAAAAAACGTCTTGCAACTCAACCATGTTTGAAGTGAGTTCACCACGCTTGTTTCGGAATCGACAGAAATAGAAAGCATCCAACAAAGCCGTACCCACAGGAAGTATGGAGTGAAAAGTATAGCCTAAGAAAAAGATTACAACATAGTTCGAAGAAATATTGCGGCAGGTACCGTGTGATCGATTACCGATTGCCGTGAATCGGATTGCGTCGAACTGTGGGGTTTGACCTTTCGGGTCTACGCACTGCTCAGGACTGGAAAGCGACTTCTGGAATCAGAAACAAACATCGAGAATAAAAGCAAGCGCTTTCAGTTAGCAAAAAAATTTCACATTAAAAAACGAGCACAGACGCAGTCGAACAGCCATCTGAGCCAAAAGTACTTGAGATGCCTATAACCCTCGGAACGACCAGGCTCACAAACATAAGGGAATAAAACACTAATTGGTAATCCATACCAGCTAGCGCAGCAAATAGACCAAATAGTCGTGTGAAAGTAACAGTCAGAATGTTAGTGCCTTCTCACAAAAGAGGTAAAATATACGTCTAGCGAGCACATACAGTCGCTACGGCTAAAGTAAACCGACTGTTACTCACAGGGTATGAAAGCGAGGGATTCTGTGTTAGAATAAATCATACATGACTTAGAAGCGCGCAGCAGCTTATGGCGGGTACTAAATAACTTCAATTAGCATTTTCCAAACAGAACCCAGCCGAGAATAAGCGAGCTACGGTCTCTCCAGGATCCACCTGACCCGTTAAAGAGGGTCCTATGTGGGCTATAAAAGAGAAAGAACTGCTAACTAAAGCAAACTGTAAATGGGACAAGGTAGGTAGGATAAATGAAACTGAAGAGACGATGGCGAGCATAAGTAGAAAGCACGGAAGTACCGAACAATAGATCCGCATCAAAACCATCATTATACACGTTAGCTAGAGTTGCGAAACACCCCACCTACTGTGCCGCAATAAACAAGAAAAATGCAACAGGTGCAAACCAGCTGAGCTACCGGTAACGGATTCACCTCATTCCGGTAAACCACCAACTGACTACCATGTAGCAAAAAATTACTATGCGAAATTATATAAGGCTAGATAGTGAGATCGTGGTTGGAGGGGGAGACTAAGAGGGATGGGTTGGGACAAAGAAACGGCACGAACGACACCGGCGGCTCCTAACCATATCAGCAAGTGTATCCAGGCAAACGTGTTCATCGTCTTTCGCACCCTAACCAGGGAGCCGAGACGCTCCAACCGAGGCCAGCTCAGAAGTGAGGGCCTTCATTCCTCTTGACCAAGTCATCGCTTGCCCACCTCTACTCTTCTTCCATTCACACATCCGGCGCGCAAACAACGCACGTCACGGGAGTCACTGGGCTAGCATGCGTAACATGTAGCCGAGCAATCGGAGCCTGATGCGTGAAATAACCGTGCTGAGCGGTTCATTTGTGCCATAAACAAGGCGTCGAACACGCTCGTTGCTTACTCGATGTTCCCAACAGATGTGTGCTAAATTGCGAAGGCACCGGTGGTCGAGCGTAACTAGCCTCTTTATGTCCGCTGATCTAAGGGGCCAGGTTTCACAACCGTACAGTAGTATCGAACGTACCGCTGCATCGTACACTCTGCCCTTCAGGGCGAGAGTGATGTCGCGCCGGCGCCATAAGTAGCGAAGGTTGGCAAAAGCGCCTCGAGCTTTTACTATTCGGTTTGTGATCTCATCTTCAATCCCACGAGCGCTGATACAATTTCCCAGGTAGTTAAGTTTTTGAACGACTTCTAGCTGATCCCCATCAAGGGGCAGTGTAGCAGGCGGTCCAAACCAATCTTGGAGGAACGCTTTGCACTTCGATGGTGCGAAGCAAAGCCCCTAAGTGACGGACAGCCAGTGCTAATGTGTCCAGTGCCGCTTGGCACGTTTGTGAGCTGTCACATATTAAGGCAATATCGTCAGCATCCTCTAAGTCAAGAAGTCGTACACCTGGGAGCAGATCCACACCTAAGTCGTCTTCTGTGAACGCGATTTCTATGACTTCGTCAATAGCGAAGTTGAAGAAGAAAGGTGACAGCGGTCATCCTTGTCTCACACCGCTGGAGATATTAAAGAGCGACGACAGCTTGCCGTAAGCCCATGCTCTGCCTGAGCTACGCGCGCATAATGATCGGATAATATTTACATATTTCTCAGGTACACCTTTCCTGAGTAGACAGTCCAAAAGTGCACGTCTATCCACCGAATCGAATGCACCTTTGATATCGAGGAACACGACAACGGTGGGTCGCCAATATATGTGACGGTGTTCCAACAACTGACGCAAGCTGAAGATGTGGTCAATGCAGTCACGACCTCGACGAAACCCGGCTTGCTCTTCACGAATATGGCTTTCACAAGTGCCACTCAGTCTGTGAAGAACGACAGAGGCAACCAATTTGGAAGCGATAGAGATCAGACTGATTCCTCTATGGTGGCCGCATTCCGATCGTGAGCCTCCCTTGAAAATTGGGACTATGACGGAGCGGTTCCAGTCGGTTGGGACAGTTTGTTGTTCCCACAGTTTCACTAGTAACTCGTATAAATCATCCACCAGAGCAGGTCCCTCGAATTTGAAGAGGGCTGGAGGTAGATCATCTGGTCCCGCGGCTTTAGTTAACTTCAACAGTCCGATCCCATGTTCGACTTCTGAGTGAGAAGGTGGATCCAAAGGGACAGCCCACGGAGCGGGGCGATCACTGGCCGGCGAGAAATCTAACAATTCCGACCGATTAAATTGCCTTTCAAAGTGCACAGCCCAACGCTCTAAGCGTTTTGACAAGTTGTGGATAGGCTGTCCACTCTCGTCACGTATAGTTTCACTAACACCAGGTTTCCTACTGCCCGTTTCAAGTATCAGGCGGAATAACTTACGATGATTACCAAGAGCAGCGGTCACTTCCATCTCTGATTCGCCAAGAGGCCATCATGATTCGCGGTCTTTCTTCAGCCTAGCACTGAGTCTTGCCTGGAGCACTTTGCGAGTTTCATCGCGTTCGTTTCCAGCCGGAATATGCAGACGAGCATCGATAAGTTCCAGAGACCGCGAAAAGACCCACTGTCCATGTTGCCGATTAGACTTAGCACATGAGGATTTTCTTGCAGCTAGTATGGTCTGGTGAACATGCGAGAATTGACCTTCAAGTGTCTCCAGTGAGCGCTTACTCAACCCACATGTCAGCGAATTTCGATACTCATTCAGAACAGCTGGCCTCGCGAGTTGGCTGGTACAAAAACCTGACCGCAAGGTAGTGAGTTTGGCGTTGGGCTGCAAAGAGTTTGTTTTAAGGAATAAGGAGCCACCTCATTCCAACCCCCTACCTGGAGGATCAGGAGACTGAGTTTGTCTGGCCCCTAACCATTGACCAATCTGGTATGAGTGGCTCCGAAGGTGCAAAGAAAGGACCACCTAACATAGCTCAATGGATCTCTGAAGCACGCAAACCATTGCATCACGGTAAGGTCTAACCTCATTGGGATGGTCTAGTCGGCTGGTGCTCAACCGACCAACTTACGTAGGATGAAGTGCTTGCTTGCTTCAAACTGAATGCTCCAGGGAAAGCGCGATAGTATAGTAAATGCCACAGAAGAAGCCCGAGCACTGTTGTGCTGGCTGGGGATCTGAACTCTCAAGTTGGAAAATTATCCACTGATGAACTGCATCTGGGCGGCAAACATGGTGTAGGCTCCCGTAATGATAAAGCTGAGCGCCTACTTCATTTGTGTGAAGATGCTCGTTTATTTCTTGTGAGCACTAATTTCCGACACATCACCTGCCGGAGGGTGACTTGGCGCCCACCAGCCTTGAACGCAAATCGATCACATTGCGATAAGTTACCGATGGAGAGGCTGCGTCCAGAAATGTCGCTCGATTTGGAGCACTTGTGTGGACACCGACCATGCACTTGTATGTGCTGACATGCGGATGCGTTTCGGCGGACGCCCACGATGACGTTGTGAGCGCATTGACAGCAGCAAAATAGCGAAGCCAGATGTTCTGAGTGCCTAACAAAGTACGCTGTCACGTGAGGAAAGTAGGCGCTCATTTGATGTAACTCGGATCTCAACGGTCTCATATACACCAGATCTGACTAGCAGCAAGAAAATCCTCATGTGGTAAGTCTAATCGCCAATATGGACAGTGGGTCTCTTCGCTGTCTCCGGAGCATATCAATGCCCGCCGACACATTCCGGATGGAAGTGAACACAAAGAAAATCGCAAAGAGCTCCGGGCAAAACTCCGTGCTAGCCTGAAAATAGACCGCGAATCTTGGTGGTCTCATCGTGCTTCAGAGATGGAAATCACCACTACCCTTGGTAACTATCGTAAGTTATTCCGTCTGATACGGGAAACGGGCAGCAGGAGACCTGGTGTTAGTAAAACTATATGTGACGAGAGTGGACAAGCCAATCCACAACTTGTCAAACCGCTTAGAGCGTTGGGCTGAGCCTTTTGAAAGGCAATTTAATCGGTTGGAATTGTCAGATTTCGGGCCGGCCACTGATCGCCCCGCTCCGTGGGCTGTCCCTTTGGATCCGCCCTCTCGCTCAGAAGTCGAACGTGAGATCGGACTGTTGTAGTTAAATAAAGCCACGGGACCAGATGATCTTCTTCTAGCCCTCTACAAATTCGGGGACCTGCTCTTGTGGATGATTTATAGGAGTTACTAGTGAAACTCTGGGAGCAGGAAACTGTTCCAACCGACTGGAGCCGCTCCGTCATATTTCCAATTTTCAAGGGAGCCTCACGATCGGAATGCGGCAACCATAGAGGAATCAGTCTGATCTCTATCGTCTCTAAATTGCTTGCCTCTGTCATTCTTTACAGACTGACTGGCACTCGTGAAAGCCATATTCGTGAAGAGCAATCCGGATTTCGTCGAGGTCGTGACTGCATTGACCACATCTTCACCTTGCGTCAGTTGTTGGAGCACCGTCACATATATTGGCGGCCCACTGTTGTCGTGTACCTCGATATCCAAGGTGCATTCGATTCGGTGGATAGATGTGCACTTTGGGACTGTTTACTCAGGAAAGGTATACCTGAGAAATATGTAGATATTATCTGAGCATTATCCGCGCGTAGCTCAAGCAGAGTGAGGGCTTACGGCAAGCCCTTTTAATATCTCCAGCGATGTAAGATAAGGATGCCCGCTGTCACCTTTCCTCTTCAACTTCGCTATTGAAGAAGTCATGGAAATCGCGTTCACAGGACACGACTTAGAAGGTGTGGAGCTG